CGTACTGTGCAGAAGTACCCAATTTTTTTCTGGATAAAGTGACTTTTGGGCTATCATGTATTTCTAGATGTTGATTATCAAAAAAATAGTTTTTATTAAAAAGAAGAACGATTTTCGAAATCAGCATGCAAAAATACATTGGAAACTACATTTCATCGTAAATTATCTTTGATTAAAATTTCTGCTCTGTATCCTCAACTTTTTATTCATGAAATGGTGAACTATACCCTGCCCTGTGGGTAAAATTTGATTCGAAATCTTTTCCACTGAATTTTTGCAGATTGATTCCGAAATTCTTGCTTGTGTAAAAAGAACCTAGTTTTGATAATCAGAATCTAGAAATACTAACCGTTTTTATTAACATCGAAAAAGTTCACTGTCTGGTTGTACTATCTCATATCGTCACATTACTCACAGTTAAACAAAAGCAAAACTAACAGATGGCCCTTAATCCAACGAAAAGACTCCACTTTTTTTTTATTATCTTTCATAACAAGACTTTTCTGAACTTCTCATGATTCTCATAGTATGATATCCATAGGAACTTAATCATTTGCACGTATTAAACTTTTCAAAGTCATCGATGAATAGAAAATATTAAAAGGCTAGATGACATTCGAGTTTCACTCAACTGCGAAATGCGGTACGAAACTACGAATATCCATTATCGTAAAAAAATCAAAATTTCATAGAAAACGAATAGTCATTTCTACGATTGATTACACAACGGTTTACCGACCGACATATTTACAGTTCACAGCAAGAAGTTCTTTTCATGTTTGCTCTCTTAGGTAGCATTCTCTAAGAAAATGAAATTCCCTGTTGAAGTTTAGAAGACGCTAGGGTAGAGAGTTGATTGTGAAATGTAATTCTCATATTTGAACCAGAATTTTCTAGTTCATCGTGACCAAAAATAATAATTTTGGACGTGTACGTCTAGTAAAAGAAAACTCGCAAAGCACTACATAAAGTAGTGGAAACGATCTCAAATGTCGGTAATGGTGTTTGAATTAACGTAAGAACGATAGATGATTTTACATACAGTCAATCTTGTCCTATCGAAGGTTTGCATAATAGCTGCTGCCCATAAGAATTGGTTGATGATTACTAGATCACTTTTAATTATCTCAGGTAAAAGATGGAAACTAAATCGTTATCTTGTGAAATTCATGAAAGATGAACGAGAATGAACATAAAAGATTCAAAAATGTTTGTATCATCTCAATGCATCGATCCTTCTGAATGAGTTCTTATTGGTTCTCTGTTCTCTATATCATTGCGATACAAAATTCAAATTTCGGTACAGTGAAAAAACATGCGAATTATGGAGGTCGAATGCATATGTGATCGACTACAGAAACATTCGACTTTGCACCACATAAAAAATAATGTTTGTCTCATGATCAATAATATTTTTTTCCTTTTCGTCTGTAAAATTTTTCATTCAAATGACGAAAACAAGATTATTTTGTGGTATTTTTTTAAAATTGCGTGATTTGATTACACCTTTTCTATTATGCAAAGTTTTATCAAATGTCAATGCAAAATCTCGTTTCTATCATAACAAATATTTAAACCATCGTTTGTCAAATATAAGATACCAACTATTCAAAGTTTTTGCTTGTGCACAAAGCATATTGAATGACATTTATTTGTAACCTTCACAAGTAATATAAAATATGTTTTACAGCAGATTATCATATAATGACCTATTATATTACATGAAAAGACATAATATTTATTTTTCACAACTCGACAGGTCATACGAATATTAATGATTATTAAGACATATTTCTGTGATTGACATGACCTTCAATCATAAATACATTTTTCATACGAAAAAAAGTAATGAATTTTAGAATGAAATATTTTAACAACAATATTCAAGTTCTTTAATATTGACATATTTCGAAAAATTTCTCCTTAATGTACTTTTGAATCTTATTTCAACAAGAAAAAATATTTATATTAAGAAAGTTCTTTATGGCATAACTTTTATTTTCAATGTTATTTTTTTAACTGGATCAAAAAGTATTTTTTTTTCCATTTATTTCATTTTAAGAAAGATTTGTTTAAACTAACAACATTTGAAGATAAAATCATCAGTTTCTCTTGTTGACTATCGACACAACTAATACCTATAACCTTGTAATCGTCGATAATCACTTGTTACATACCGGTCTTTTTTCAACATGCAATGTGTCCTGCTTGGTATTTTAAATTGTATGTAGGACTGTTGTGATAATATTCACTCAGTTGGAATCAGAATAGAAGAAGAAGAAGCAAAAGAAAAGAAAAGAAAAAAGAAAGGAAAGAAAAAAAACTTACCTGCATTAAAGACATGCATATAAACGACGGGAGGTGAACGAAAGTTGGAGGGAAGAATGCCGAGAACATAAACGGTGAGGAGAAAAAAAGGCGTAGAATAAAATGAAGACAGATTTGTGTATGTGTATGTCTGAGTGAGTCAGCATTAAGCAAGCGACGAACTGAGGGCAAATAAAAAAGTTTGCTCTTGATCGTAGTATAGCATAAGAGTAATGTATTTATCGTCGGTCACCAATATAAAGCTCAAATAAGTCAAATTCAACCGTTCTTCTTCTATTTCAATATCTCATGGCCAGTAACGAACTATTTCCTCAAATAGCTTATCCTATTCGTGTAATTCTACCTATTGTTTATACATTTATTAGTACTTTTGCTCTTATTGGTAATACATTAAATTTTTATTCATTATGTGTTAGTACTGATCGATATAGTCGAAAAAGTATTCATGTACTTATTTGGAATTTAATTATTGAAGGAACAATATGGACATTAATATTTTATACAGTTAAAATGGTATCCTATGCTGACTTAGGTGAACATTTCGCTTTAAATAATGGTAGATGGTTAAATAATTCGTGGTGTAAATCTGAAATGTATATATTACGCATAATGGATTTTCTTCTTGCTTATACAATTGTATTTCTATGTCTTGATCGTTGTGTAAAAAAACACAAATGTTGTTATGGTATACGTCGTTTTATAACTGGTATTTGTATACTAATATCACTTTGGCTTGCTGTTTGTTATGCATTGATACCAATATTATTCTTTAATCAACAATTAAAATCATTTAATTATGGCTCATATGAATGTGTTTATAATGACACACAAATAAATGAATTAAATTGGTTAAATTTACAAAATGTTCAATTACCTATTAAAACAATTTATTTACTTGATTTTATGTTTGGAAATGCTTTACCAATATTTTTGATGATTTTATTATTAATTATGCGATTTTTTATTTATCGAAAACCAAAAACAAATAAATATAAAACTAATCCAGATATAAATCTTAATGAAATAGATATAAATATATATAAACAATTTGATTTGAAAAATTATGATGATGAACATCCAAATTTAACAAAAATGGTATGTTATATTTATTCGTAAAGAATATCCTAAAGATTTGAAAATTAGATATCCACTAATATAATAGAAAAGCCTTTTTAAGACATCTAATCAATGACTTACATTAGCGTTTTGAATGAGAAAGAAAAAAGTCGATTAAAATGTTCTATCAGAAGAAATAAATCAATATATTTCTCTTATTGTCAAATATAAAATATCCAAAAGGTAAGTTGACTGATAAGTTATATAAATCACAATTATTCTATTGTCTTTTTAATCATGAAATTTTTCTATGCTTGAAAAGAGTTTGATAAACATTTGCATAAGATTTATTGATTGATTCAATATCAATGAACATTATTTCCAATTCGCTTATAATCATTCAGTCAATAAAAATACGAATCAACATATATTATTTGTTGCAAAAAACGGCTTCTCTCCTTTACTTTTTTTATTCATACTATCTGTTCATGTTCTTTTGATTGAATCAAAAGAAAACGAACAGATATTACGAATAAAAAAGTTAAAGAAGAGAAGCCATTCTTAGCAATAAATGCTATACATTGACCCCTATTTTTACTGGTTAGAGGTTTATAAGTGGATTGGGAATAATGCTCATTACACGAAATAATATTTCTCTATATAAGAGAAAAAGGTCACGTTTAGATAACAAAGTTTTCTTCAATATTTATTAATATAGTCAAAACTAAATTTGAATAGAAAGAAAAACTTATATTGATAAAAAAGCATGTCTATGCTGTTTTAGGTTGTTTTATATGTAATCGTATTTATAATATGTCAATTACCATATTATATTTATCGTCTAGTTCGTATTTATCATCCATCAATTGAATCAAATTTATTTTCAATTAATATATTATATGCAATTGATATTCCATTAATTATTCTTCGTTTAATTAATCGTGCTATTAATCCATGGCTTTCTTTTTTTCTAATGCGTTCAATACGAGATTCATCTCGTCAAGCATGTTCATCATTTTGGTGTTGTGGTTGTTTTCCTTGTTGTCCGAATCGTTGGTCATTTCTACGTGATTGTTCATCATGTATACGTAATGAATGGTATGATTTAACAGCTAGTCAACAAATGATACGAGAAATTCGTCCAACAGGAAGTATAGTGAAAAAAGAATTTATTGATTCAACTGGAAAACGTATTCGACAAACATATGAAGAATATGTTAGATATTTTCATCGACCACGTACACATTTTAGTGATGCTAATCCAGCATTATTATTGGCTGGTAGAAATACACCTGCAGGAAATGAAAATTTAGGTTATTTACCTAGTAATCCAAAAGTACAACGTTCTCAAATGATGGAACCAAGTACTGAATTATAATTATTAGAATGATTATTATTTAGCTATGTTCCATTTTTTTCCAGTAGATTTAAATGAAAATGTTTATAATAAAAATCTTTGCTTGTATTCTTTGTTCGTTTTTTTTTTCATGCAAAGTTTTATGAAATGCACATATACAAAGAAAAAAAACCAGTACAACTTTAGAAAGGACATCATTACAAATAAAAAAAATACAATAAAAAAACACTCACAATAGTTATTAAAAACAATACTTAAATTATGATAAACTATTAATTTGTCGTCTAAAGTAAAGTGCAATATCTGATATATTCGGACGTTTTGTTCCGTCAATATGCCAACATTCACATAATAAATCATAAATTTCTTTTGAACAATCTGATGGTTGAGATAAACGAATTATATATTCATTTAAATTTTCTATTTGATTAGATGATTGTCGAAAGATAAGATATTGATAAAGTTCTTCATTTGTTAATGATGTATGTGGTAAATATGAACATCGAGACCATATTTCCCATAATGTTACAGCAAATGAATAAACATCAGATTTTAATGTTGCATTATTCTAAAATTAATAAATAAATTTATTCAAGATTGATCTTTCCTTAAAAGAAAAACTATTTTTTACTGTTAATGCTTCTGGTGCGATCCATCTCAATGGAATTTTTTCTCCATTTGTAGATAACCAATATTCATGTTCATATTGTGATAAAGCCATCGCACAATCCGTTAATTTAATAGTATAATCCGAAAAAAAGATACAATTTCTTGTTGCAATATCATTATGAATTATATTTAAATGTGCTAAATATTCAAGAGCATTTGATAATTGATGAGAAAAATAAATATTCATTCTAAAAGAAAATTTAAAAAAAAATCATATATAATAAAAATAAATTTTCTTTTTCTTTTACTTTTGAAATGTTAATTCATTTATTGCTGTATGAAAATAATCTTGTAAAGTACCTAAGTCTGAATGTTCTTGAATAAAATAAAGTAAATCAAATTCTATTGCACATATACATGCAATATTAACATGATTTAAACGAGACAAAATATTTATTTCTGATAAAAATCTTTTTCTAAAAAAAGAATTTATTTTGAATTTTTACAAAATATTTTTTTACTTTGATGAATCAATCATATTTGTTTTTATTAGTTTAATTAATACAGATTTTGATTGATTATCCATTGAATATTTTCCTATGAAAATTTCTCCATATTTTGATTCAGATATTTTACATAATGAAAATAATTTTGATTGATCAACACCAGGTGGGAATGAATAATTATATTTTGAAGGAATAGTTTCTTGTAAAGCAATACAATTGAATAAATTCATTAACTTCAAAGAACTTTGTCCAATATCTGATGATGCATAATGAAATGTCTACAAAAAAAGAAATTAAATAAATAATAAAAAAGAATATTAAACTTTAAAATTTGACGTTTTTTTTTTACATTAGTTGGCGAACAATTTGCATAAGAAGTTCCATCAATAATAGCATATTGTTCACTTTTAAATAATGATGATGGTGAACTAGTATGTAATAATGATGTTGTTGACGTAATTGGATATATATATGAACCCATTGATGCCACATCATCGTAATTATTTTTTCTAGTTATTTGATTTTGATCATTTTCAATTGATGAACCATTTGTTATATTTGTTAATTGAGAACATTTATAATAAAGATTAGCTTTTTTACGTAAATAACAATGACGAATACGAAGTATTAAAAGAATAAATAAAAGTACAAAACAAAGAGAAAGAATTGAAAATATTAATATTGTTAACCATTCCAATGAAATTATTGATGATGATGACGATGATATTAATGTTATTTTATTATTCGAAGCTGAACACGCTAAATATAAATTAGATACTGAAGATTGTATAAATTAGATGTTATATAATAACAAATATAGAATAATATTAATCAACTTAAAACATCTTATACTGACAGAAAGAAAAGGTTAGATATATTTCTTATCTTAATATGATCGATCGATACAATTAAATATTAGAGTTCAATATTGTCTTTATCAAGGATTTTTTTTTTGTATCAAGTTTTTATCTTGAAAATAAAATCTGTTCATGCAAAAACATTCGATTTTATCGAACAAATGAGATTGTATGTAGACTTGTTCAATTAGTAATCACAATTAATAATTATCATTTGAATTGATACAGCTAAATCAATAGAAAATACAATTTGTCATAGCTCGTCGTGCATAAGGGTCAATTTGCGTAGTAGCTTGAATATATTTTAATGATTGTTATTTTCTCTTCACGTACATTATCATATCGTAGAATTAAAATGTTTATTCTATCATCGATCGTCAAGACATCTTATCTAATTCTTTTTGTTTACAATACAGAACATTTCTTATCTGTTTTTCTGTTGACTCTAAATAACTCACCCATAGGACAAATTGTTGTCGTTATAGTTGTTAATGTTGTATTGACTAACATTGTTGGTTCATTATCAAATGTAATTTCTGTTAACAAAAGAGGTTCATCATCAAATTCAAATAAAATTTCCACTCGATTTCCAATGATCATTGTTTTAGATTTATTTAATTGAATTGTATCAACAAATATTGTTGATAATGATGTTGTTATTGGTGATATTTGATGTTTTATTGATAAATTATTATCAAATTTAATTTGAATTGAACGATATTTATTCGTCATTGAATAAATTTCAATAGTTTTAAAATGTCGAACTGTATCAAAATGAAAGTTAATTGAAACAGGAGATTTATTCCAAGCCAGTCGAGTATTTTCATTATCTCCAATGATTCCGTCAGTTAATATACCAACGCCACCTAAATGAGAGAAAACGAGAATATACATAATACAATGAAAACACTAATGTAAGCTTACCATCATATAAATTATCTTTTTCTATACTTGGTGGAGTTGTATATGATATAACACCACCTATAGAAAAAAAAAATATGAACAATATTTCGTATTATCAATAATATAAGTGTATAGAACCATAGAAAACACATCCATAAAGTTCGATTCGCATACAAACAGTTCGCCAACGTGGACTATAAGGTATAATTCGAATACGTTTTGCTATAATTGGTGATGAAAGGAAACGTTTTTCTGCTGTATATGTATTGACATTTCCTTTGAGAACCTAAACAAAACAAAAAAAATAAGAAATAATAAGAAAAATTTAACTTAAAGAATTTATAATAGTGATCATACAGTTTTATTTGTTTTTTTGTTATAAAAAGTTATCCAATGCGATGAATTATTTTCTCGTTGATATTCAATTTGATAATATTCAGCATATTCATTTCCATGTCCATTATCAAATCGTCCTTGAGTTTCGATAGCATTTATAAAATATAATTTATGTAATTCAATTTGAACATATTCATATGATTTTGGTCCTATTGGCTTATTTGGACACCATGCACCTCCTTCTAATTCAATTCGAATTCTATTTAAAAAGAATAAATCTTATGTCAATTTAATCCATTTTCACTTTTGATTGATCAGTGTTGTTTATTTTAGTTTTTTTTGTTAAAAGAAAAAATGATGCTTTTACCTTGACATTTGAGGGCCAACGCTACTCACATCGTGAGTTGAACTCGAGGTCAAATCACTATCAGCTATCAAACCTGATTCCATACCTAATGGTGCATTACATTGTTCTTAAAATAAAATATACAAAAAAGTGTTGTTAGTTTTTTTTTTTTGTTCAAAATCTTCTATAACTATATTCACCATATTCCGGTAAGATTATATTCGATGAGACATCAGCAAGAATTATAATAAATAAAATATATAAGTAATTCATCATAGATATAGTCATATACATTTTGATATCTAAAAATTTTACGAAAATGAATTAATCTTGTCATAATTATCAATGATAAGAGAAAAAAAAACATGCAGGTTGATGTTATCATTTTTGTTCTTCTGTTGATACAGTTTACTAATTGAAATAGCAATTAACTTAATTATATAGAATATAAAATAATTATTTTATGTGCTATTAAAAACTATTTCATGTCGAGACATTTTCATATTTTATACTTATCAATTCACAGTGACAACAATCAATGACAGACAAAATATAAACGAAATACAACTGATACATTACGTAAAAAAAGAAATAACTATGAAACGTACTTAAATGATCATCATTACAAAATGTACGGATATATGTATTCAGTGATTGTATAAACAAAAAATATGGTTAAGTTGTTGGATATTTGCTTGAAGGCAGATGAGGATAGAATTTTAGACTATTTATGTACGTATAAGGATGAGATCAGATTTTTCATGATGTAATCTTATAAATCTTTGTCATATTCTATTAATATACTCACATTCTATTCTACACAAAGAGATTGAGACTGAACAGAGAAATCTTTTTATTGTACCAGAAGAGAAAAAAATTCTATCGTTTCTTTCATTCTCTCCGCCTTCATCGATAATGTAAAGGGAAAGAACACAAGGCGTTTTGTAATAATTTTTATCTTCTTTCTTTTTCTATCGTTATTCTTTCACACATATATTTATTAATTTGTACCTTATTTCTCTTTCTTTCTTACAAACATATGAAGGGTTTCTTTGTTCAAGTGCACGATATGGTAGCTTACGTAAAGATACACTTAAATTTCATCGTATGGTAGTGATCAACTATGGAAAGTCCTTGTATGATCTCAACATACGAAAGCATTTGTCCATCCGTCACAGTCACCGCACTATCAAATGTATCTATGTCAATATTTCAATCTGATTGGATAAAAATACTAAAATTATAAAGTGCGAGCAACAAACAGCTGTCTGTTTAAAACAAAGAACGAAGCAGTTACTATCCTGATTGAGGCGTAGTTGTTGAAATGAACCATGCGACAGGTCGTTCAATTAGAACACGCACATCAAATTCAAGTCAACTCAAAGAAAAAAAAAAGGCTAATCGACATTCCTATACAAACATAAAAAATGAAAATGATGCAATGCATGCATCAAACAAGTGCGTTATTGAAAAATAATTATCGATAGTATGCATGCAATATGTTAGCATAGACAATATGGCCTCGAGAGGTATCATACACCTACGATATTGAAGTTCAAACGTAATTGGCTTGTATCTGCTTCTGGCTACTAATGTTTCTCATGTTACCTAGCAAACATCATAATTCCTTTTAGTGTTTGTTATACGCAATAGTTTTAGTTTTTCTTAAACTAATGAAAAAGAAATAATATTTGTAGTAGGCTTCTTCAGTTCTCATCTTATGACAACGACTCAAGGTAAACTAAAATTGAATAAATAAATGACATATTTATGCCTAAGAAAAAACATGATAAAATAATTCTTTATAAATATAGATATCTAATAATAAAAATAAAAGCAAATTGTCTTTTCTTTTGTTGATCATCCAAAATGAATAAATGTGCAGACTTGCGCTAACTTATTGTTTGATCGCAGAATAAATGAAATCAACCACTAATTCAATAATGATCTTAACACATTTGGATTGAAATATATTATATGAGAAGAGCATCATGTTTTATTGTCAATGAGTAATTGTGCTAAGAGGATCTTGTTCTTTTTTCTCATTGGAGATTATAGAAAAATCTTTTTAACCTTGGATGAACGGTCGGAACAGAGAAAAAGAAGAGATCATTAGTAGGCGCAATCATCGAAGAAGAACATGCGCACATATAAAAATTCTTATTAGTTCTCTTTTTCAATGAATATGTGTCTATCGACTGAAATAGCTATAGTAGTACTCAATGACTACAATTAGATATGAGCAGCCAATCATTTGTATGTTTAGTCTGCTATTACTACGGTTGATCTTTCTCCCTTCATAATAAGAGCATCAATGCATGCGTATACCTTTCGTGATAAATTTTTAGTTGATATTCTAGATGAAATTGATCGTATATGTAGACTACAAGAAATTAAAGAAAAGAAGTCGTATCGATAGAGCACGACGAAAATTGAGTCGTGTCTGGACAATTATAATAACACTGATCATTCGTGTGTACACAAAAACTAAGATTAAATCAACGTTGTTGCCACCCTATAATTATAAAAGAAAAAGAAAAAGGAAACAGCAAACACGAACAATAAAGTTCGATTCTGTCATCGAATGTTTACAATTCTGTCTTTATAAGTAAATTAAAAGAATTGATCATTGTTTTTTCGAATTGAAGAATTCTTTTTTTTCTCATGTACGCTAATAAACTCGTGTACTACTCATTTTCAAAGTAAATATCAAAGCCATAGTAAAAATTATATTTAGAAAACAGAAAACATTCTGTTATTTTCAATAATCAAAGCAAGGTTATGTAAAACAAACACTATAATAACTACCTAGTTGTTCTAATGATGATCACATGAAATGAATAATAAGTACATTATTCATGTATTTCGATCAATGTAGATGAAAAATGATATAAGATTACTTTTGAATTACTTTTTCTCAATGATCAATCAATGTTCATTGATTATGTATCTATGTACGTGAAGCATTTTATCTATCATAGATTCATTGAATGTTTTTTATATTTTATGGATTCTAACACATTTTCGATCTCATCGACATACACAAATGACCTTTGAGATTATACATACACAGCATGTAAATGAATGTCTGATGTCAATTCATAATACACTTGTGTTGTTATCCTATAAGTATATACATATGTGTTGGTTAGACTTTATATTATAAAAAAAGATAATTAACATGAAGTGTAACAACCATATACAATGAGCAATCATGTCATATTGAAACATAAGTAATATTTTCACCAGTTTAATAATTATTTTAAGCAAGTCCGTCTATTTAACAATGTACTGTCTAAGTGTACACTGAGAGAGAAATAGAACTGTGCATGTAGAGAATGCCTTGTGTACAGACGAAGTCGAGTGATTTTTTTAATCATATTTGAAGTAGACTAGTGAATAAGGATGAACAAACGAGTGTTCGATATAAAAAAAGAAAAGAAAAAAAAACTGTTTGATCGGAAACATACATAAGAAAGAATGAGAGTACATGTATATATTTATTTTAGGTGATGATGGACGAATTCGCACTAGAATTGGACAAGAAAAGTGTACTTGTAACACTATATCTAGTCAATATCAATGACATAACGGAGAGAAAAAAAAAGATAAACTTGAGAATGAATGACTAAAAATTTATTATTAGATCTATTCCAAATGGCTTAATTTAATGAAAATGATTATCTATTAATTAGATTAAATAGAATTCTGTTATTCATGTTCAACTATTCTCAAACAAAACTAATTCATTGAATTTATTTTAATGTGAGATCAATGAGTAACTATTTATTTCATGGGAATTCATTAAAGAAAAATTGATTGTCTTTTAAAATTTATTTTAAATGTAACAATTTTAGTTTTGATTTTGTACAACTTAGAAATGAAATAAAACACATGATTAAATATTAAAAAGACTTAACAGAATCGTTTTCTCAAGATCTATTTAAATTTAAACAAAAGTTGTGCTGAGAAAGCTTCTTTCATATTTTGCACCATATCCAAGAAAAATCTTCTTGGCCTAATGCTATTCTATGCTGCACAGTAGTGTAAATTATAACTGATCTGTAAGCCTTAATGTAAATTTTTTTTCTTACCCTAAATCTATCCTGTAGGTTATGGCTACTACTATGTACGCTTCTAATTTAAATCACAAATTCATACCTTCTGAAATCATCACTTTATGTACTTTTAACAAATAAATTATAAATTTGTACAATGCATTGATTTTATTTCCACAATACTATTTGATACAGAACATACTTATCAAATATCAATGGAAGATGTCAAGAGTTTGATTGTTAGGTCAGTAATTCAAAGATGTTCGTAGAATTGTTCGAAAACTTTCGACATTCAAAATGAAGATATTGTAAAATCGATATACCTCGATACAAGATTTTATCTATTGTACAAACAACTTATCAATGTTTCACATTTTTACATGAAAATATTTATTGACATACTATAATTTATCTTTAGGGCATAGCAAATTGTTACATGAGAATAAAAAAAAAAAAACTTTTTCGTTAAATATCAATAAGTGTGAAAGTATCAAATTACAACTTTCGAATTATTTCTAAAAAACAAAACTAGTATATCAACAATGAATCACATTTGTAAAAATATGTAAGAACTTAGTTGATAAATTAGCATAATACAAACTTTATTCAAAAGGAATTTTCAAGATAGAAATGTTCCTTTTCCCTGAAAAAAAATAATAAGGAGAAACTGACAGAGAGCTGGACTTTCTAAATATAAGTGCAATAATGTTTTACGTTTTTGCACATGCCTCAATTATTTCACTCCTACCTATTTTTATGTATATGGCCTTGTAGAAATAAACTATTAATTATCATATAATTGGAAACCAAAAAAAAATACGCAATCAATCCTCACTTTATCATTAAAGGGAAAAACGTCTTTCGAAGCATTTAAGCGTCCCTTAAAAAAGCTCAATGAATGGGAGGACAGCATGTGGTCGGATTTTTCACAAATAATATGAGTTTTTATTTGGCATATTTTTTTTTTCTCCAAATATTTTCGTCACTTTTTAATTGCAAAATATGCTTTTATTCAGCTTGCACATCTTAGAATTCTCGAAGGAACTTCATTGTAGCCAACAGGCTTTTTTTCTTCGCAAGAACATATAAAGCTGCACTGTGAGACAGAGTTTGTTTTTTTAATTAAGCTTCTTTTATTATTATTGAAAAATGAACTTCTATAAATAGATGATCATTTTCTGACAGTTTTTCGATGCATTAAAGTTGTCATCTTTTTTTCCGGGTAAAAGTTAGAAT